TTTGATATATTATAAATATACGATAAAATTAATTTATTTAAAAAATAGTATTTTGATTTATATTTAAAAATTTTGATTTTTTGTTTAAAAGTTAATTTTTGTTTTAGTTTTTTGATTTAATGAGTTTGGTTTTGTCTTTGAGGCCATATGAATTACATAAAAGGTTATAACCTCTAGCTTTTCTTCAGGTCCGGTTGTGATTGTAGTAGTTGTTGTAATTTAAGTTGTAGTTGTAGTTGTGATTGTACTAGTAACAGTATTTGTAGTTGTGGTAGTTGTGGTTATTGTAGGTATTGTGTGTATTGTGTGTATTGTGGTTGTTGTTGTTGTCTAATCTGTTGTGGATCATTTAACTGTCCTCTTTCTTGTTCTCGGATATTATATTGAGGAGTTTGTTGTATCTTTATTGCAGTTAGACGTTCCTTATATTTTGGGGTTAGTTGGAACCCGGTTTGCGAAACATTTGGTTGGGTTTGTAGGGTATTCATATCAAGAAAGTTTGATTGGGTTTGAACGGTTTGCGATACATTTGATTGGGTTTGAACGGTTTGCGATATATTTGATTGGGTTTGCATGGTATTCATGCCATGAAAATTTGATTGGATTTGAACGGTTTGCAATACATTTGATTGGGTTCGGTGGGTATTCATATCATGGAGATTTGATCGAGTTTGAACGATTTGCGATATATTTGGTTGGGTTTGAATGGTTTGCCATATATTTGGTTGGGTTTGAACGGTTTGCGATATATTTGGTTGGGTTTGAACGATTTGCGATATATTTGATTGGGTTTGAATGGTTTGCGATATATTTGGTTGGGTTCGCTGGGTATTCATACCATGGAAATTTGATTGAGTTTGAACGATTTGCGGTACATTTGGTTGGGTTTGCTGAGTACTCTTATCATGGAAATTTGGTTGAACTGGATAGACATTATTGTGGTTTGGATATGTATTAACTAAAACATTGTCAGTTTGAAGAGTATTGAGTGGTTTAGAATCATCTAAGACATTAGATGGATCGCAGTTAGAATTTGATGGTTCTGAGACAGCGAGTCTTTTTCTTGAATAACAGTGCTCTGATGGATCTGTTAATTTACGGATACCTTTTTGTTTTGGGGGTAGATTTATGAAAGTATCAAAGCAGAGAAATTCATTAATTGATGGTAATGTTTCTTTTTTAATTATCTATAATAAAAGTTGCATGAGTCGAGCGCATTCCATAATCGTTGGAAAAAAAAAAAAACAATTAATTAGTATAAAGCTTTAAGAAAAAGTTATATTTTAGAATATTTACCTCTAGAAGACAATCATAAGACATTTTTTTTAAAAATTATAAATTTTCTTTGCAATTTAAGAAGAATTTATAGAAAATGAAATGAAATATTTAAAGCTATTAAAAAAAATATAAAAAAATAATATTAATATTTATTTAATCACCCAAAATTAATTGCATTGTCTATTAACAATAAATACATACCTGTTTTTATTATTGCTATTATTTGTATATGTTTTTTGGGTTTGAATAAAAGTTATAAAGTTTTAAATATTTTTTTAAAAATATAATATAATTTTTAAGTGGTTGTAATCCTATTTTATTTTTTTTTTTTTTTTTTATTTCTATATTTATTTATAATTATATTTTTGTTGCCATTATAATCTAATTATATGAATGGTTATAAGAAAAGAAAAATATGTTTGATGAAAAATAAAAATATATGAACTAAATTTATAAAGCACAAACACAACAAACACCCAAACAACAAACACCCAAACAACAAACACCCAACAAATACCCAACAGACACACTATAAAAAATTGAAATGGATTGAAGTAAAGTAGATTGGAATTTTATTGGGTTTAAAGTAAAAATTATATAGCTGTATTATATTATTTATTAAAATTTGAATTGATATCGAACACTACTGTTTGTAGAAAAAAGGGGATGGAACATCAACACAAATCTATTAAATCTAATTTACTTTCTTCTTTATTTAAGTTTTTTATTATAAAAAAATAAAATAATAAAAACAATAATAACAATTTAACTTAATTACAAACTTAAATTATTATTATATTCTATTATTATCTTTTTTTTTTGAGACAAAATAACAATATTGTGTTTGGTAATTTAATATAAAAAACTTTTTTTTTTCTTTTTTTTTTTATTGAGTTATTGTTGTTATTTTTGATTTAAAAATTTTAAAAGCTGCTTTTGTTATTTTAATGCTACCTAATATATCTAAACTATTTTTTTTTTATTTATATTTTTTTTTTTTTTTTTTTTAAATTATAATTAAATCTATTATTGCTGCATTATAACATCATTTTATCAAATTGATAATAGTATAGAAAAATGTGTGAGTTTGTGTGAGTTTGTTGATGTTTGTGTGTTTGTAAAAAAATTTTGTTTTTTTTTTTTGGCATGCTGCTATATAACCACCAGTGCTTTTTATTTATTTTTCTATTTTTTGGTTGGGTGTGTGAAGATAGTATTTTTTTTTTTTTTTTGTTGAAATTATAAAAATATACAATAATAATAAAAAAACACATTGGAACGATAAAAAAATAACAACAATATGATAACTACAATAAAAACAACAAATACAAAACATAACAAAATAAACTGTGAACGATACTTACATACCAATTTCTTTATAAAAACTAACTGTAAATAAGTATAACAACATTTAATAAGCTTAAATACATATTTTTTTATTTATAAAACTATTTGAAAAAAAAAAATAAAAACTAAAATATAAAAACAAAAAAAATTAAAATTATTTTTTTTTTATTGTTAAGTTATATTGGTTTGCAGAAAAAAAGCAATTTTCTCAAAGATTATGATAAGGAGTATTTGTGGTAGTGGTAGTTGATTTGGGTGACTAAAAAAAGCAAAGATTAAAAAAAAAAATCAATCAAAAAGTTACCATTTTTTAAAGTTGAATCAATATCAAACAAACACAATATTATAATAATAAAAATAATAATTAAAAAAAAAAATTAAAAAAAAAATCAAAAAAAAAATTAAAAAAAAATCAAAAATTTTTTCTATTTGCTATTGAAAATGCTGAGTGGATTTAAAAAAAATTTTGATTGAATTCGTTCCACAAAATATCTTTAAATTTTTAAAATTTTAAAATTTTTTTTTTTTTTTTTCAAAATTTTTTTTATGATGAAAAAATTATTTTATTTCATTGTATCTTGGTACTAGTAAACTTGTTTACAAATAAATAAATATTTATAATTGTAAGTAATAGTACAAAAAATTATCAGATCTAAGTTTCTATTATTAACCCAAAATTTAATTTAATTTTTTTTTTTTTTTTTTTTCATTTTTCATTTCTCTTTTATGGTGTATTAATCGGTAAATAATAATAAATATATTTTAGAAAAAAAAAAATCAATAAAAAAATAGTTAAAAATAATAATAAAAGATCTTTCGATACTACCGATACTACCGATACTACCGACACTACCGATGCTGCCAATGCTACCGAAGAAGTTATTTTTAAAAAGACTGTAAAGACTAAATATGATGTCGAACCAAAAAACATCGTCAGAAAGGATAGAGTAATTTTAAAGTATTGCTTCGATAAAAACCCATTCCCAGACACCATCGAGAAAGAGATCATCGCCTACCAATTAAAAATTACTGTTAGTCAAGTCGCCAAATGGTATAAACACAAGAGGGAAAGCTTAAAGAAATCTAGCAACCATCCCATAAAAATATCTCTGTCCCAAAGTTTTATAGAAGCACCAACGAGTTAAACCTTTTCTTCCACAATTTCCCATTCCCCGCTGAAGAGAACATTGCATACTTTGCATTAGTCTATGGTGTTACCAAAGAAAAGATCAGAGTTTGGTTCATGTCTAAAAGATACAACAAGAGAACAACACATATATTCATTGAAAATGGTTTCATCGATAAATTTTCATACGATCCATACCGTCATCTTGGTAATTTGTATTATTTCTATGATGATGATTATGGTGTTAACACTGATATATTTTCAAAAAATCAATATAATCCAAAACGTATTAAAACTTTTGACCACAGAGTTTACTCTATCACCAACATCTCAGAATCCAGAAGGATAAATATTTATTCCCAAGGAAGAAGACTTCAAAACGCCTATTCTTTTGAAATCTTTAATGATAATGGATATTAGATTGGAACAAGAAGTTTTTTTAATAATGATGATACCTCTGCTACCATCGACACTGCTGTTGCAAAGAATAGAACTTCCCAAACTCCAATTCAATCTGACAGTAGTGTTCGTATATTTAACAACAACAAATGATAATAATAATAATAATAATAATAATAATAATAATAATAATAATAATAATAATAATAATAATAATAATAATAATAATAATAATAATAATAATAATAATAATAATAATTCATTCAATAATACCACTCATAATATAAATAATAATATAAATAATTACAATCCAAACTTTAATCTATATTCCAATACCAATAAAACAAATATTGATATTAAAAATATAACAAATCTTTTCAATGATGATTTAAATATCAACAGAAATGCTAGTGTTTTTGGTTATACTATTCCGTAATATTAATAATGATGTTAATATGAATAACAATATGAATAATAATAATCACAAAAGAGTCATTTTCACAAATATTTCATGTAACAACATTGACAAAAATTAATTTTTTATTCAAAAACAAATAAATTTCTAATCTATAAATAAAATATATATTTATTATTATTTAAATAAATCTTTCATAGTTTTTATTTTATTTTATTTATTTATTTATACCTAAATTTCCATCCATAGTATCTATATCCATATTTTCTTTAAAACTATTAAAAAAAAACAAGGTGAATAGTTATTTTCTTTATTTTTTTATAAATAATTTTTTACAAAAAATTTATTTCAAAGTTAGAAAGTGGCAATTATGAAGGTATTTGTCAGTATATTCATCAAAACGGCCATATATTTAAAATACAAGATTTTGAATTATCCCTTTTTATTCGATATGAAATCCCTGTAAAATGGTTTAAAAAACTCTATAACATTTTTTTCAAATATCAATTAGATTCACATACATTGGTTATTCAAATGTTAAATATTAATTTTGAAGTTTTAGAGTTTTTATGGGAGAATAATATTGGCGATATAGATAAAACAATAGTGTTTATTGAAATGATTAATAATATCGATACTCTAACTTCTCCAACAATTGGGTACATTTTAAAAGAAAAAAAGAATTCATTTCAAAAATGATATTATCGGACATATTCATTATTCTTAAAATACTCAACACCCAATTTATTTATTTTGGCTAGAGATGTTTTCCCAAATTTTAATTATCAAATTACACAAGCTTTAATATTAAAACTCATTTCCTTCGACTATTCAAGGTACAAAATAATAGAATTTTTATACCAAACAATTTTTCTTTATTAGATGGTTATTAAACCGTTTTTACATGATATAAAATTGCTATTATTTTGAGTTATCTAGATATGAAAATATTAATAGATCTTGATCATAAATTAAGAGTTATTGTAAATGAATGGGTTTAGTTTATTTAAAAATTGTATTTTTTTATTCTTAATCTCTTTGTTAAGGAATCTGGTATTTTGTGTTTATAGGGTCCATATAGTTTTATTTGAGTAACAGATTGAGGAATTGTATTTGGTTTTAGAAGTCGATTATAATAATAGCCAAAAGATAGTTTTGTTAGAGATTTTGGTAATAAGCCTATTTGAAGAGGATGGTTATAGTGAGGAGGTAAAGTTAGATCCACTACTGAATCGGGAATAATACCGACTGGAAGAAGAGTTCTATGTAATGATGGGAATCTTAATATTTTAACTGATGGTGGAATTGATTTAGTTTCAAATGTAAGTGGACCATCATCGCCGAAATCTAGATCTGTAATTGATGATGGTAAATAATTTTCATATAAATTTTTTTTAAATCTTGATAAATATAAACACTGTAAAGAATTAGGGAGAAGATTTTCACCAAATTCACAGTTATACGAGTTTAGTTCCATAGTTTGTACTTTGGGTGGTATTACTTGTGGTTCTAATTGATGTTTGTAGTTGTTTAAACATAGTTTGGTTATGGACGATGGAAGTACATTTGGTTTTAAAGGTTGATTAAAAGCAGTAATCTTTAAAGTTTCTATTGTGCTGGGTAATTCATTACTAGATATCACTTGATTAAAATAATCCATTTCAAGAGTTTTTATGGAGCTAAGCGATGATAGAGAGTTTAATAGTGGCTGGTTAAATTTATTAATATTGAGTTCAGTGATTGATGATGGAAGTATAACTTGTTCCAATAATGGGTGATTAAAAATAGGTAGATGTAGTTTTATTAATTGTGGAAGAACGTTTGGATAAAGTGGTTGATTATATGAATTGAGGTGAAGTTTTTGACATGTTTTAGGTAAATCACCTATTTTTAAAACTTGATTAAAGGAATTTAGGTGTAATTCTGTTACCGAATTAAATAAACCAGGTTCAATACACTTATTGAATGTATATATATCTAAATAGGTCAATGAGTTTGGAAATGTTCCGATACTAAATTCCTGAGGAGTGTAGTGTGGACCAAATGACAATTTGGTAACTGAATTTGGAATATCACCAGCGTTAATTGGTTGGTTGAATCTATCTGTGAATTCAATTTCTGTTGCACCATAAGGAATAGCTTGGCCATGTGATCCTAAAGGCTGATTAATTTGGATAATAATTGTTGATGCATATCTTCTATGTGGATGGTATCTAAGTTGATCCATTGTCCTGCAAATAACTATTTTTTTATTTTCATTATAAAATCTATGATGTTTTTGTATTTCGCTAAATAGATACATATTCCTCCAAATAGAAAAAAATAATTTATCATTTGTATTATTATTATTATTCATATTATTATTATTATTCATATTATTATTACTATTCTTATTATCATCTGTATCACATTTATTATTATTATTATTGCACTTATCCATTTGTTATAAAGATATTAAATATTTTTAAAAATAAAAAAATATAAAAAATAAAAAAAAATTAATTTTTTTTTCAAAAAAAATTTTTTCCACAACTAAAATATCTTTTTTTTTTTTGATTTTTGAAAAATAAAACAAAACAAATATCATTCACCAACCTCTCTGGGTAATGTTATGGAATAGGTGATGCATATATGATGGCTATATATTTGATAAAACTTTAAGAATTCTGTTAATACACCAACTTAAAGAATGATTTTAATTAATAATTACAATTAAATCATTTTTAACATCACAAAATAATCAGAAACTGTAAAAAATCTAAAATTTATTTTATTTCAAACCAAAAAAATACTTTATAAATACAAATAAATAAACAAACAAAAAAAATAAATAAATAAATAAAACAAATTAACAAATAAATCAATAAAAATAAAAATAACTATAAATCAATACTTGAATAGTTTTATATTTATTTAAATTTTGTAAAAAGGAATTTTTTTTTTGTTTTGTTGAAATTTATAACACAAATTCCTAATTTGTTTAATTTTTAAGATTAATGTAAAAATTTATTAGTAATTGAAAAATAAAAATAAATATTTTTATAAATTTATACATACTCTTCTTTTTTGTTATATCTTTATTGAAACTATTATCAGTAGATGGAAATGATGATACAGAAATAGTAACACTTGGTGGATTTGGCATTCCTTTCTCATGAGGGGCTTCGAAGAGATCTATTATTGAATATAAAAATAGTTTATTTTTCATTTTAAATGAAAATTATTTTATTTTTTATTACTATGATTATTTAAAATTTATAAAAAAGAGAAATAATGATTATACAATATTGATAGAAATAGTTTTTTTAGTGATAATGAAAATGAAATAATATTTTTTTAAATTATTACAATAAAAAAATAAAAATTAATGTATAGGTCTATTAACTTTATTTATGAGACAAATTACACATTAAATAAATATAAAAATTAGTGGTAGAGGGTGTGAATCAAGTTTTGTGTTTTAATATAAAAAATAATATGAATTTAAACACATATGTGGTTAGAGGGGGTAAATGTATTGAGTATGCACATAAAAAATAATACATTACATAAACTATTATATATTAAAAAATTATTTTTGATTGAATAAATTTTATACAAATTTCAATATGATAAAAAAAAGTTTGATATAATATAAGAAATTGGTAATTAAGGCAACATACCCCCCTTATACAACAAATAAATAAAAAAAATTACAACATGTCCATATTAAATTAATATGTAAAATTAAATAATGAATTAATTTTTTTTTTTTTTTTTTTATAATTATTAATAGTAATTGTAATATTGAAGTGGTAGTCTAAAAATTGTGATTGTTTATTTGTTCAAGAAAAAAAAAAGTGATATGGGGAATGTTGTTATCTCTTTCAACTCAATAGAAACAAAAAAAAACACAAAAAAATTTAATTATGTGAAAAATAAAAAATTTATAATTAATAATATTTTTATCTTTATTATTCAATCTGAGATATTTGATTAGCCAGATGAGAGTTATTCATGTAGGTTCTTTTTATAGATATTTTGATGAGGAATTAGTCATATTTAACGTCCCCATATATATATACCAAAGAGAACAAAGAATTCTATAGACAAATCACAAAACTATAATATATAGTTTAAAAATATTCAGCTACTATTCATTCTGGGTTCAAGTATTTGTGAGTGATTATAATCAATTACCATTTTTCAATTATATTTATATATAATTGTATATTATGTTGTAATTGAACATCTTGTTGGCAAGAAAATATACATCACAGTGTGTTAATATTATTTATCTATTTGAAATGTTATTATAAATAAATAAATAAAAATCAATATGATATTCATTAATATTATAAATTTTGGTAGTGAGTGTGTGTATAATTTTATTTGTGAGCAGAGTGGGAAAGGTAGAGTGTGTTGAAATTTATCAATACATTTTTGTGTTAACTGTGTGAAATTTTAACCACACATGTACATAAAAAAAAATAAAAAAAATACATGTTTAATATAAATTGTATATACTAATTTGGATTCGAATAATTAACCTTTCACATCAATAATTCAAAATTAATAAATTTTGCATAGTTTTATTTTTAAGTTCAAAAAAAAATTATGTTAAATTGAAATAGATCCATAAGTGTTTTTTTAAAAGTTGTAATAAAAAATATAAATTGTAATTATATATGGCAACGGCAATTTATAGCATCACCTTAATTGTTAATTCAAACAATATAAATAAAAATTATAATAATTATTTTTAAGTCACTTAATACTGATAGAATCATTATTAAAATTAAAAAATTATTATTTTTAAAAAAGGAATAAATGGAGATGGTAATGTTTTTAATAACCTACTCTATGCACTTAAACATTAATTTTTTTTAATTACCTATCCCCCACTTAACACAATTTAATAATTATTTTCTTTACCCCACCAAACACACATGTTTGTTAGTGATTGTTAACAATTAACACAAACAAATACTATGGGGTTAGTTTTGAAACAAGGAAAGATATATTCAGATTAGTGTTTTTATTTATTTTTTTATTTTTTTTTATTATTAAATTATTAAGTTTTGAAATTTTAAATAATTTAAATTATAATAATAAAAAAAAAATTAAAAAAAATATACACATTTGTTTTATTAATAAATATTAATTAAAAATAGTAAAGATGAATAATCAGACTCCTATATATAATCAGGCCTTTTTTAATGTTTTCCGTCACTCTAATCTTTATTTTACTGAAAATAATGATTTTATTGGGTCTCTCAATTTTTTACAGTATTATAGAAGTTTAAATGTAAGATTAACCGACTCGAATCAACTAAATGTATTTTTAAAGCTAGTATTTTATTCACGTCAAGTTACAAAATTTACCATTGATTCAAACAATGATACTTTCGTTCTTTTTAATATTTTCTCGCCCTTCTTCATAACACAGAATCTTACCTCTTTGAAACTAGCCTATATGGAGTATAACTTTCCAATTAAGCCAGGAATGATCCCGAGTACTTTAAAAGAACTTACACTGCCACATGATTATAATCATCCGCTTCAAGAAACCTTTGCTATTACAAACGATTGTCTTGATTACATACCAGTTTTTCCTGAAAATGGATTAACTAAATTGTACATTACCAACTCATTTAATCAACCAATTATTCAAAATGTCCTTCCAAAAACTTTAAAAGAACTAAAAATTGGTACTTCTTTCACCCAAGAATTGTATTTCGAAAGTATTCCAGACTCTGTTACTTTTCTTACTCTTGACTGCCCATATTATAATCATCAGTTTGCTCCAGGAATCCTTCCAAGAAATTTAATAAAGCTAAAGATTGGTAATAATGTTCCTTTATTGCCTGGTTCTTTACCAGAATCTCTTACTTATCTCAAACTATGCCGCGACTTTAACCAACCTATTACTGCTAATCTATTACCAAAAAATCTTAAAAAAATATCTTTTGGTTCTAATTTCCAAAGTAACTTTGTTCCATCTGAAAATATTCATACAATCGTTTTTGGTGAAAATATGCTTTGTGAACCACATAGCTTTACAGAAAACGTTAGAAGTGTAGTAGTTAAAAACCACCGTCATAACGAATTACCAAATACTATTAATGAACTAATCATTGTTGCCAAAAAAAAAATACATAAAAGATTTCCAGTGAATCTTAATTATTTAGAACTAAATTGTCCCGATCCTTTCCAATTTCAAAAAGATCAGTTAAAACCACTCACTGGACTAAAGCATCTAAGACTTTTAAGTGGTGATATAAGAATTCAAGTTAACCAAATCCCAATATCTTTAATATCGCTCGACCTAGGTGGTTTAGTATCAAAAGATCCTCTAGACCTAAGCCCATTGGTAAATCTAGAATACTTTAGTTTAGGTGGTGGACTTCCCCAAAATATTACATCTCCACCAACACTTCGTGCTATGAAATTTTATGGTGATGAAGTTGAAGAGTTTTCCAATACTATTTTTCCAGCATCACTTGAAATCCTTCAATTGCCACAATACCATGTCCAGCCTCTATCAAACTCGTGGCTTCCATCGTCATTGAAAATCCTTATCCATCCTGGTGAACCTGTTATTGCTGAAGATTATAGACGTCCAAATCTCATTAAATTTTATGTTGGTTATTTAAATGAAACCATCTTGATTTATGATAGAGCTTTTCTTGATGATAATCCCAATATTGTACAATCATTTAAAAACAAACATAACGTAATCATTGAAGATTATTTAAATTACATTCTACCATGCCAAATAAACAATAGATATAGTGAAAAATTTTATATGGCAGATAACTAAAATTAAAATAAATAAAAACCTATTTAATTATTATTATAAAATATTTTATGTGTAAATATATGGGTATTGTAAAAGTGTCCAAAAGAATTTGTATAAATATGTAAATCTATGAGTATATGTATATGTATATGTAAATGATTATTATCAGAATATGATAATAAAAAAAGCTAAATTTTTTTTTAAATCTAAAAATATTGTTTATTTATTTATTTATTTATTTTTTTATTTATTTATTTATTTTCTTTTAATAAAAAAATCTATTAATTAATATTATATGGTTGGTAAACTTTGGAACATTTAAATTGACTGTCCAACACTGTAGTATAATCTCTTTAAAGTGGATAGTCCCTCGTCGATTAAATTCTCTATAACCATTTTATAATATTCTTTTTTTTTGATTATCTTTTTTACCAAATATTAAAATTACTTCTTCCATCAAAAACTTCATCTTCAGCTGTACCTTCATCTATATTATTATCTTCACTTTCATCATTTTCATTATTCCCTTGACTAGGGGTATTTTCGTGCATTAATCTCTATCTAGGTATTGATATATTTCCTAAATGTTTGATTAGACATGAAGGTTGACAATAATAAGATGAATTTATTTAAGAGAATTTATTTCAGCTCTTTTAAATGCCCCTTGATGGTGAATGTGAATTATTTGAATCAAATTCTAAATCAGATCCTTGTTTTTTTTATAAATCTTCTTGAGGTTGAGGTTTATAATTTCACAAAGTTCCTCCAGTGTCTTATTAATGGCTAAAAGAAAATTTACACCATAAGACATTGTATGAAAGTAGTATTCATATATTTCTATTGATTCTTTACAAAAGAAGCAATCTTTAAATGTCACAATTTATCATTATTTATTATTTATTTTTTAATAATTTTGTTGATTAAAAATTGAATAAATTTTATTTAAAAAAAAAAAAATTAAAAAAAAAAAAAATTAAATAAAAATTTAATAAAAAATTATGATTTTATTTTTTTTTTTTTTTTTTGCAAATCGTATCTGTTTAAACAAATTTATAACAATTTGATTATTATAATAATTTTTTTTTAATTTTTTTTTTTTTAATTTTTTTTTAGTTATCGTTGTTATTGTTATAATATTGTGATAATTCTTTTGAATTATGTGCTATTTCGACCACATCAGAGGGTGTTGCATTATTGCAATTTACAACGGTAATTAAAGAATTATATATAAGGCAAACAGTAAATAATCAAAAAGAAAAAGATAGAGGTTATTTGGGATCTAATAATTTAGGAGATGTGCTTATTCATATATTGGATTCGTTAAAAAGAATAAGCACTCAAACAACTAGAGATCTTGGATCTTTATGTATCATAATAATAATAATAATAATAATAATAATAATAATAATAATAATAATAATAATAATAATAATAATAATAATAATAATAATAAAAACAATAATTGTAATGGAGGTAATAATCATAATATAATAACAATAATAATAGCAAGAAAGCCCCAGAAAAGCAATACAGAATCATCAACACCAAGTGCAAAAGAAATGATGCCAAAACATTATTAATAACTAAACAACAATTATACTAATATACGAACGGTTTTAGACCACATCAAATTGCCAATTCAAGTATGAGAATCTGGTAAGCACTTTAAAGATGTTGTTCAAACTAATAGATTAATTAAAATTTTTAAAGAAGCATTTGATAGAGCTGGAATTGACTGTGGGGGTGCACTAATTATGTTGGTCAACATTTTTATATATACTCTGAATATTTTAATTCCACTTATTATTATTGTGGACCTTCATGTCTAGTTAATAATTTAGGTAATATATCAACAACTAAATGGAAAAAATGCACAAAACTTCTCATAGTGAAGAGAATAATCCTAATGAAGGTGAAGGTACAGCTGAGGATGAAGATGGTTCAGGCCAAGATGAAGATAATGGTACAGCTGGAGATAAAGGTAGAAATGGTGGTATTACTAGAGGTGGTATTACTAGGTGGTGTCACTAGAGGCAGAGGAAGAGGCAGAGGTGGTAATTATCAGTGAGCGACGAGGAAATAAAAAAGGAATTATGATTGGCTTTAACACTGATAAAACTAAAATCAAATTTTAGTTTTGAATATCTATCATATTTGTTTGATAAAATTGACACAGGCAACTAGAATGTGTGAATCATGTATTTTTTTTAATCTAATAAATACTATTCATCTCTTACAATTAGAAGAAAGGTTAGCACGTGGTCACTGGTTTGATAAAAATGAATTCAAAGTTTCAAACGGTTTTACTGAATTTATGGATGGCAATCTAACTCCAACAAGCAGTGCACTTACAGAACAATATAGAAACAATATACATAGTGGTAAAGAAAAAATAGAATGCATATCAACAATTGGTGTCAATTAGAAAAATGGAAAATACTTGAAAAGTATAGATTAATGTGGACCGAGGACCAATCAGTTTTGGATGTGTGCGAAAAACATCACCAATTTATATATTTTCAATGAACCTCTTGGTGAATCATTATCATTACCACCAACCTATGGTGGTATTTATTATTGGAATCCAAATCTCAACTACCATTGTAATAATCTTCGAATACTATTATAAATATAATATTATAAGATAAAGACATATAAATTATAAAACCTCCACTACCTAAACTGTTTGTAAATAAATTAAAGACTCTTTTTAAAACGTAAATCAAAAACCTTTATACAAATATTATCTGTGTGATTAACACCTTTATTTATACTGATTGCAAAAAATTAAAATTTTATAAAATTAAAAATTAAAAAATCAATAAAATATTTAAAAATTAAAAATTAATAAATTTATAAAAAGTATAAAATTTAATTTAAAAAAACAATGTTTAAAAAAACAAATAAAAATATAGTAAAAAAAAACAATGTTTAAATTTAAAAAAAAAAATGTTTAAATTTTGAATAAATTTTTAATTTAAAAAAAAAATTGTTCAATTTTTTAATATTTGAATTAAAATATGGATCTTTGATAACCTTCAGAATTTCTACTTCTTTTTCTTACATTAGCTAAATCATTCAAAAAAAATATAAATATTTTATTTCTAAATTAAATAACAAAAATAAGACTATTCTGGAAATAAATTTAAAATTATTAAAAAATTTTAAAAATTTGGAATTTATTAATATTTTAATAAAAAATTAGAAATTTAAAATAAAAAATAATTAACCCACTATTTCTAAAAATAATATTTAAGAACTTTTTAATAAGTAAAAGAATATATATCAAAAAGAAATTGTGTGGGGTGGGTGAAAAAAATAATTTTTTAATTCTTATTAATTTTTCATTTGTTAAAATTTTTTTTTTTTTGAATTCTAATTTATTTTATAATTTACAAATTATATTTTTTATATTTATATTTATTTTTTTTAAAAGAAAAAGATTTTAAGAACAAATAATTTACAATTTAAAACAAAAAAATGGTTAAACCTAAAGTTCAATTTAAAATATCCAAAAAAAGAGATCATTTAGACTTTTTAAATCATTCAATGGGGATTTTTTCATCAACCATTGATAAATTAATATATATTGTTCATAACTCAAAAGGTTATAAATCCTCTGATGTTACCTTTACAGACAAACATGTAATTTATGTATGTATAAAAAGTTTAAAAATAAAAAAATTTAATTTCTATTAAAATATTAATTAAATTTATTATATTCACAATTTTAAATAGTGTTTTTTATATTTTAAACAATATTTAACAATGGATGAAATTGCACGTCAACTCCAAGTCAGTACAAGAACTTTTACAACTTATTATGTTGAAGGAATCAACTTGTTATATAATGCTATAAAAGAGATAATGGATAAAAATTATGAAGAAATATATGAAGAAATGGATTTTTTAGAACATCCTTTAACGAAAAAAAATTATAAATCCATTGCTATTGATTCAACTTCAATACAAATTCAACGTCCAACCGATCATAATATTCAAAAATTATATTTTCAAAGTAAAAAAAAAATTCATTGCGCCAAATTTCATGTAGAAGTTTCAACAAAAACAAAAAGACTTCTTTATGTTTCGAAACTATATAAAGGTGCAACTAATGATAAAAAGATTGGAGATTTGGAATATCAAATATTAGATCAGAATGGTATTCAAAAGGTTGATGAAAATGGCAATTTGATGTATAAACATTCAACCATACCAGTAATAGGTAAATATTTATATATTAATATATTTATATATTTTTAAATTTATTAAATATCATTTTGATTAACTATTTATTTTAATAAAGGAGATAAAGCATACCAAGATGCTGCATATGCTGTATCACCTTTCAAAAGAAATAAAAAAACACCATTTACTCCAGATCAAAATATTCACAATAATTTTATTTCTTCAAATCGTGTATTTATAGAAAATTTCTTTTTAGAGGTTAAATCATTCAATATTTTAGATCAAGTTTATCGTGGCAATTTAGAACACCTAGAGAAAATATTTACAATTATTTGTTTTGTATGTGATTTAGAAAAAATTATTAGATGGGTTTTGACTTAGAATTTGACCAGATCATTAAATAAA